TCCTTCTCAGGACAGTATATATACATGGCTCGAAAAAGAAGTGCTTCCTAATCAAATGAAGGACGGCTCTCGCGGTGAAAAGCCCGCTTTGGTCATTGTCAACACTGGAGCCATACGCTTCGACATATTTAAGGGTCCGTTTACGCAAGATACGACATTCATTGTCTCGCCCTTTACGAGCGGCTTCCGCTATATCAAGGACATCCCCTACGAGAAAGCGCAAACAGTAGTAGAAATTTTGAACAAGCAGCCGCAAATTTTGACTGCGCCTGAGGATCACACAAATTACACACCATGGACTCTTGCACCGCCGGAGCAATCAATGCATATGCACGACAGGATTGTGGAAAGCGACGATGTGGCTGCTCGCTATCTTACTGATCAGAGTCGGCTTCCAATGAGCAGCCCATTCGCGCCTGAGGTTTTTCCTGGCTACACCACTGTAGATGATGGAGGTATAGACGGTGATGACACTGTTCATTCGCCAATATCATTTTACCGCGTTCCAAATTGCATTCAAGCTCTCATTTCTCCAGGGACGTCTGTAGATCCGGAGACAGTGGATCTTGTGTATATTGATTTTATCGAGCCCTACGTGGCTCTGGCCGCCAAACTTGCGAGCATTGATCTCGATTTTGCACGGGATAGTGACGTTTATATGCCCTTCGAGACATTAACTGACCTTATTTTGGACTGGGTCAAGAATAACTGGAAATGCGAAGATGCGTGATTCTGTTTCTAGTCCGGTTCAGATCACTGTTTGTGCCAATGGAATCAGTAAATGATCTGATTTACTATACCCTATTATGATTGCGTACATGCACTTAATATACTTTTTATACCATCATCCCCAGGGATTATTCATCCCCTTCGTATTTTAACAAGCCTTTGCCTTTGCGGAATCCACTCAGAGTTTCCTGCACACCTGCAACAAGCTCAGCGCCTTCGGTTTCCCAGGTCCATTTAATGTATTCCACCGGGATATCTTTGAATTTGCCGGCTCGAGTCAACTCCAGCACATCATTAATTGTGTTTTCCTTGAGCTCAGGGTGTTTATCTCCCCATCTGCTCACCCAGAAACCGTCGAAAACAAGGTTCTTGAATATCAGAAGGCCAGATGGCAAGGCGACTGGCTGTTTTGACATGGCACCATAAGTGACCAGGTGCGAACCTGGAGCAAGGGTCTTCGCCAGGGCAGTGGCACTCTTACCACCCACGCAGTTGAGGGCTAGCCGAATTGGCTCCTTTCCTTGACGGGTGAATTCATTCACCATGTTCTTAAATTCTCCAGATAGCAGCTCGGATTCAGTAACCACTGCATTGGCCCCCAGGTCGTAGAGCTCCTTTTTCAAAGAATCGGTTTCTGCTGGTGTCGTTCTCTCGCGAACGATATTGATCGTTTTGATGCCCCATTCGCGTGCAAGTTGGATTGCAGCTCGTCCAACACCGCTATTTGCTCCGTTCTGGATGAGCCACTCTTCTCCAGCCCGCATCCAATCCCAGTCGCAGAAATCTTTGATCATTCGGTAGGCAGTCACCGGATTGACACTGACTGTGCTGACCTGAAGCGGGCTCAGACCTTCTTTGTTTTCAATCTTGATCACTTGCGATTCGTCTAATTGCGCGTGGGTGCGCCAAGTGCCTTGTCCTGTCTGCTTCATCACGACCCAGTCGCCTTTGGCAAGATTTTTGACGTTGGAGCCAGTGGCAATGACCTCGAATGCGCCCTCGTTTCCCGCTACGGCAGACGGTTCCACTGTGCCAAGCGTGGTCTGGAAGGGTGGTTTGCTTGGGTATACACCTTGAATCTGATTCACATCGGCCGGGTTCAAAGGCGCCGCCAGAAGGCGGAGAGTGACTTGTGTCCCATGAGGAGGAGAGATCGAATGCTTGTGGAGCCTGGAAGAGGGAGGAAGACAAGTCAGGCTATCTATCTATTTTCCCAGCGGTTGCATTCTAGGTGCTCTTACCGCAGAACATCCTTCGGTTCACCATATCGCGAATAGACTAGAGCCTTCGATTGCGTATAGCCATATACTGAGATAAATCTCTTTTGCCCCAGACGCGAGTCAGGTAAAAGGACTTCATGCTGGCTGGATGGCGCTGGAACGCGAAGGGGCGAAGCTCTGCCTCTGAGGCCAAGGGAAACACCGACAGAGGAAGATCTGGTAGCTGATCGCACCACAGTACGGGAAAGCATAATGATGTTTGGGGGTGCCTAGCCCTTCTTTGACGGTTAATTGATCCAAAGATTCAGATAAGGTCAAAGAGCCAGCTTCGTGTAGCAATTGTTATAATTGTTGTCGCTGGCGGCTGTTGAAGAAAACCCGGATGACGTCGTTTCCTAGCCGTCGGGCCGAAGGAGGAAAGCTGCGCTTCGGCATAATAATTGATACTCATTCGTGTTTGGGCAGATTGCTGAACATTGGGGTGCTATATGGGAAAGAGAATGGACGGAGACACCACGTCAGGTCCTTTATCAATTGTTATTATCTTGCTGGAGGACCTGGTGTGCCTGGTTTGCTGGCGTCCGTCATCGTATGTATATTTACAGATAGGCATGCGCTGGTGCATGGCGACTACCTAGAGAGGTAGGAGAACGATCAAATTCGACTTGAGTGAACCATTGCTCAGGAGGAATAGTTCTCTTAATTCCTCAATCTCTCACAACTACGGAGGGCATTCGATGAAGTGTTGCCGGTCAGATACGAAACCTCGCGAGATTGCTTAAACATACACCATCCCGACACTTTACCGAAATGTAAACTTCCGTCCCACCGCATTTAGATGTACCTCCAGTTTTCCGAACCTCTGCCGTCGCGGTCCCTGCCACCACCTACGATCACCGCTCAGGATATCTAAATGTCCTTATTGCGGGAAGCTGAGAAATGTATCACTAACCAAAGGTCACATGCCGCTCTCAATGCCTTCATAACAACTGTGCAGCATTCTGGACCATGGCGAGAACAAGTGAGAGAAGCAGACAGTAGGAGAGAATCAGGTAAGCTCGCAGCAGCTTCTGTCCTGTCCTCTCTCTGGCTCATTCGGACACTGACGCATGCTTTTTGAGACTAAAAGGGAAATCGAAATCCAAGGTTGACGGTCGCTTGATTGCCTTCAAAGACAATATTTGCACACGCGATTTTCCGACAACATGTGCCTCCGGGATTCTAGCCAAATTCACCAGTCCATTCAATGCGACGGTGGTGGAACAGCTGTCGAAAGCCGGCGCTATAGTAGCTGGTAAGACGAACTTGGATGAATTTGGCATGGGTTCTCATTCTCTCAATTCATGGTTCGGCCCCGTCAAAAATCAGCGACAGTACCAGGAAGGACGAATTCTCTCAGCTGGTGGAAGTTCTGGTGGAAGCGCCGTCTCTGTCGCTACAGACCAATGTTATGCGTAAGTGTTTTTGCTCCTAAACCAGTCGAACTTCCTTCCTTGGGGGTATGCCTGGTGTGCTGACCAGGGCGTTATAGAGCTCTTGGAACAGACACTGGTGGTTCGGTTCGACTTCCAGCTGCCTACACTGGCACAGTCGGCTTTAAGCCGTCTTATGGATTGGTCTCAAGATGGGGAGTCGTGGCATACGCTAATTCACTGGATACTGTTGGCATCCTGGCCAATAATACCTCCAGGGCTCGCGATGTATTCCGTACGTATCTCTGCGCTTCCCCCTCTCGATATGTCCGTTTGCATTGGAATCTGACTGCTCGGACTCAGGCATTGTGAATCGGCATGATTCACGCGATCCGACAAACTTGTCTCCACGCTCTCGGTCTCGCATAGCTTCGCACCTCCAGCAACCCGCTCTGTTGACTAGAATGGCCTCATCTCCTTTGAGGATCGGCGTTCCTATTGAGTACAACATATCGGAACTCTCTCCATCGGTGCGACGCGCCTGGGCTCTCTCGATAGCTTTTCTGAGAGAGCAGGGCCATACAATTCACCATGTCTCACTCCCCACAACAAAACTAGCTCTCTCAGCATATTACGTCCTCGCCCCAGCCGAAGCATCCTCAAACCTCGCCAAATATGACGGCATCAGATACGGTTCCCGCTGCAACGGTCCGGATTCTGGTGGACAGCCTGGCAGCTATCTATACGCCAAAACTAGAGGGGACGGATTCGGTCCCGAGGTAAAGAGGCGTATCCTACTCGGCGCCTTCAGTCTGAGCGCCGATGCCATAAACAATTACTTTATTCAAGCGCAGCGCGTCCGCCGACTTGTCCAACGCGATTTCAATGCTGTTTTTAGAGCAGAGCAACCGATGGCCCCTTCCCTCCAGAAGGTAGATGCTGAGTTGAAATCAAAGCAAGCAGAGGTCGACGTCCTGATCTGCCCCACCGCCCCTTCGTGTCCTCCGCAGTTAGCAGACCTGGTCGAATCAGATTCAATTTTCTCGTCCCTGAATGCATACACGAACGATGTGTTCACAGTACCTGCAAGCCTGGCTGGTTTACCAGCTGCGTCTGTTCCAGTCAGTGTCGGCTGCCGGGATGAAGGTTCTGGCGATGCAGATCTTGCTGGAATTCAAATCATCGGACAATACGGGGACGATGAGCTTGTCCTCAAAGTCTCGGAGATATTGGAGGGCAAAAAATTTTTGATATAGTCTTGTGTTTCACCTCGATACCCATAATTAATCTCTAGTTGCCGACTACATAGCTCACCTTAGACCCAATCACAGGGGAGGTTCACTGTAGCAAAGCATGTAATATACATCATATTTGAACACCTAAAGTTTCAACACAGAGGTTGTAGACCATATCAACTGTATCTGCTCCGGCAATCCATTGTGGAAGCCTTGTTCGATCCCAGGTATTCATTCGTACATATAGCGGCCTTGCTTCCTACGAGCGTCCCTCGTTCGAGAAAGGCATGCTTTACTAGTTCAAAAATATCCAAAGGGACTGAACCCGAGATGGCGGGAGACAGGTATACACGGCTTGGAACAAGCGAATCCTAGCCTGATCATGAAGACAAATGGGCCTCGAGTCATGACATCTCAATGTCCTCCGTCGGGACTGTGTTCTCTAAAGGCGCTGAGGGTGTCGCCGCGTTGGGAGAACCCTCCTGGCCCACACTAAGAGCATCCTCGATCGTCAAATGGCCTGAGCCCACGTTGGTGACGCCTGTTTCCAATCCATTGGAAATATTTTCGGTGTCTGCAAATTCCGCGCCAGGGACTGAATCCATTCGAGGATCAAACGCTGCCCCGACTCCGCCCTTCAGAACTTCGGAGCCCCCAACAGCACCGGCGCCAGCGCTGTCAACTTCCGCATTGCCAACAACATCACCGTCGACACCGCCCCATATGAGCATTGCTTCGACCTCATCAACAATATCGGCCACGACGTCTTCAACAATCTGCTCATTGAAGCGTTCGCCGATGCCCCGGACAGGTTCGCCATTCTCTGTGTGAGACGGTGGTCCAACCCACCAGGGTCCTTCAAAGCGACATTCCACGGCACCGCCGCCATAGCAGCTGACAGCAGGGTAGTAGCCAATCATTCCGTCATCGGCGTTCTCTCGCTCACCAATGCCTAAGTTATTGGTTCCGTTTGCAAGTCGGCTGGCCGGCGGAAGGAACGCATATAATTCTTGGAATGGAGTACCCATCTTCTCTCCATTTTTGAAAATTGTGATGCTCGAACCCGGCAGCGTGCGTAGAGAAGGGTCTTCGCTGTTGAACGGCGATGGTGGACCAAATGTGGGCGTCTCTTTGAGGTTGAACGCATAATCCCGTAGATGTTTTGTGGAGAATACGTTTGACTGCTGCCAGCAGAAATCAGACTTATAGTGGAAGGGAATGCGATCCCGAATAAAATTTGTCGATGTGAGAGCCTCTGATGTTGGTGAAGTCCCATCTCCATCGACAGTAGGATCATACGTTCCCTCGACTACCTTCTTGTGGAGGGACAGTGGTGGAAGCGTGATGAGCATGCCGATAACGTCCCCTTCGCGAATTGATTCACCTTTCGGGAAAAAGTACTCGCAGCGCATTCTATTGACCACTTCGCCGTTTACATCACGGATTCCGTACCCGTAACAGTCAACACCCACGTTCGCATCAAGATCAGCCTCCCGTCGTGCAAATCCAAGACGGACGTGACCCTTTGGCGTGCCTTGAGAAGATTCGTTAGCTGAGATAGATTGCGAATTATTAGGAATCCCGTTGATCACGCGCGCCTCGTAATAATATGCGCCCTCGCGCGCACAGACATTAGCACGCGCAGTATGCCAGGCGCTGCTGGCTGTTACCGCGCGCGCATCCTCACCGAAAAAAATTGCTGCGGGCGAATCCTCGAAACTGAACCGGGCATGATAAGGGGGAACATCGGTCTGACGGTACTTGATGTGCGGAAAGCTTGGGTCGGCTATAGCATAGCTATAACGAAAGCCATTCTTATTTGTGAGTTTGTCAACAACCTCATAGAAGTCCCAGCTCTGACCGAGCACGTCTGATGTTTTGCGGTTCACAAAACTCAGTTGACGAGGCTGTGGCGGTAATAGGTCCGAAGACCTGGGTTCGGCGAGTAATAGGGGTCTGAGAATGCTGATATCGGAGCTCGGAAGCGCGGTGTTCGGCGCAACCGCGGCTTTCTTCTTAGGCGGGATGGATTCCTGGTCGAGACCCTTGGCCTCTCTTTTCTTCCGGCTATCGCGTTTGTTGCGTTTCGATCTTGCGCCATCAGCTTGCACTGATGCATTGCTGGGAGGGGCAGGCGAGGATCGTGCGTTCTGACCTGTGACTGTACCACTAAAGAAAGGTGCGGTCCCTGGAGGTAAGGTCGGAGAATTGATGTTGGACGAAGGGCCAGATGACCCTACCGGCTGTATAGACGCCATGTGGGCCTCAATACTGGTTCACGAGTAAATTGTAACCTGACGATTGGCAACAACAGGCGCACTGTGCGCGGCTCAAGTCAAATAATGCGACTCAATGCATTATCCGTATGTCTAACTGCGGGCTGCGCGGGACAAGCAGCTGTCACGAGAACCTTGTTGCGTGGGAGTGAAAGGAAAAGAGTTGAAATATGGCTTGAAGTGACAGCCTATATTTTGCGACGTAGAACTTAGGTAGGAACCTATAAGAGAACATCAGCGCGTTAGACCACTGATTGGCTGCAACGAAAAGGGAAATACTGAATCTTGGCTGACCTTGCAAAGATAAATATCTCTAAAGGGTATAAGAGCAATTCGAGCCGATGAAAATCTCCGCTCACAGCTCTGCTCCCAATCCTTAATGGATTCAAGATCCTGTTGTAATCTCCGATTCCTCTCCCAAGGTGTTGATAAAACGAGTCTTCAACAACTTCAGGTGCGAATGACCTAAAGCGGATGATGAAGAGTAAGCCGTCTCAGTATGATAGTCTTGATAGACTAATATAGGTCTTTGTCACCAGAAAGAAATAAAAATCCATCCCTTTAGTATTCAACAAGGGCGAGACTGAAGAGCAGAGAGGTTTGGAGACATTGATCTGAAAGCGGTCAAGATAAAAGCTCCGGCAAAAAGCGTAGCGCCAAAGATATATTTCAACCTTGCTTCTGTGGAGCGGGGCACGGGGCGGTGGCATCATTGACCATTTAAGGTGAATTATTTGCAGGCGGTAAGCTTCGATCCTCTGAATGTAACTGCCTGGAGGGGGGATTCTCCAACTGTCTGGCAGAAAAAAGTGCCTAAGTCACATGATATTGAAATTTACACACATTTTCCCTTGAATGGCACTGATGTGAGAAAAAAATAAGTTGTAGACGTCGCTTTTCAGCTTCCCTACAATCCCCTCTCTCGTTTGGGTACGAGGTAATTTAGTCCGCTCTTGATGCCCTAGAAGCAAGAACTGACATTCCTTTGGATATCGAAAAGTGAAAGCACACCATGCCCAAAGCAACATCCTCTCGAGCTGCTGCAGCAGCCCGCAGGCACAATCCTCTGGCCGAGGACATCATAACCTCGGGTCATCTACGAACCCAATCCAGCAAGAAGAGCAAGCGTCAAGAGCGGCAAGATGAGAATGGGGAAGATGGCGAGCGTTACATTGACGCTAAGATGACGAGGAAGATCTTACAGATTGGGCAAGAACTGGCGGAAGAAGATGCCGCGGAGCACGAAGCCGCAATAGGTGCAGCTAATACGGCAACTAATTCAGCATTTGATTTTGAATCGAGATTTGAAGATGATGAAGCTTTATCGGACGATGACGAGAAGTTTCGCGGAGACCAGTGGGGCGATGAAGAAGAGGAGATCGAGGAAGTGGTAGGTGGTCTTTGCTTTGCTCAAAGAGATATAACTTTCCTTCGTCTAACAATATCGCCTTAGGAGGTTGATCCAAATGACCTTGATATGTTTAACAAATTCATTCCTGGTAGCGACGAAGATCCTATATTCAACCCTCGAGGAACCGATACAGGTCGGAGCACCAACCTGGCTGATCTCATATTGGAAAAGATCGCAGAGCACGAAGCGAAGCAGTCCGGTAATGGTGGACCCATGATTCAAGGTGGAGGATTGCCCGAAGACGCCGTTCAGATACCCGCAAAAGCTGTTGAAGTTTACGAAAAGTGAGTACATTCGTCTCATCCGTTCGCATAGTCATTGTGCTTATGGTCTCAACCAGAGTCGGCATGATACTGTCTCGCTACAAGTCCGGGCCACTTCCCAAGCCATTCAAGATTCTCCCCTCCGTTCCCAATTGGCCAACTCTCCTCTCTATCACTCGCCCCGAGTCATGGACAGCCAACGCTGTTTATGCTGGGACTAGGATTTTCATTTCATCGAAGCCAGCCGTTGCACAGGAGTTCATATCAACAGTGCTGCTTGACCGCGTTCGGGAGGAGATTCACGAAACAAAGAAGTTAAATGTTCACACCTACAACGCTCTGAAGAAAGCGCTGTACAAGCCAGCTTGCTTTTTCAAAGGTCTGCTGTTCCCGCTGGTATCAAGTGGTACTTGCACTCTACGGGAGGCACACATCGTCTCTTCTGTCATCGCACGTGTATCTATCCCAGTATTGCACTCTGCGGCTGCTTTACTTCGCATGTGCGACCTGGCCGCGGAACAGTCTCTCAGATCTCTCGAAAGCACCGGTGCGGTGAATGTCTTCATCCGTGTGTTCCTCGAGAAAAAGTACGCGCTTCCATATAAGGTGATTGACGCTCTCGTCTTCCATTTTCTGCGCTTCCGCGCTAGCGACAATGCCGAGGACTCGATGATGACCGATGGACCGTCGGGGGCTGCTACCAAAGCGTATAAGCTTCCTGTTCTTTGGCACCAGTCATTATTGGTCTTTGCCCAACGTTACCGCAACGATATCACTGAAGACCAGCGCGAAGCTCTCCTTGACCTGTTGTTAGTTCGGGGGCACAAGGATATCGGCCCCGAGGTCAGACGGGAATTGTTGGCGGGTAGAGGGCGCGGCGTAGTTGTACCCGACCCAGAAAAGCAGGGCGCTCTTGATGCTGGCGATGACACGATGGATGTCACGTTTTAGGAAAAGGCATTGACTCTGATGAACTGTCTTGCCATGTTTTCTGTTCCTGGGTTTCTGTGACTGCGATGGGCGTTCGAGGGGTTCAGAAAAAAGATGATTTTTTTTGCATATATTCCCGGGGCGCTTGGAAATCTTATCATCAAAGCTACCATTGCTCTTCCCTAGAGGGTAGTACTGATAAAGGGTAACAAAAATTTCCTCACTTCTGTCAATATGAAATCCACGTAGGCAATAGAATATGCATTCAGATAGTGGGTTCGCCATCACCTGTTCTCAGCACGTTGAGGAATTCACAATGGAATGCTCCATGATGCAGCCCCATTAGCATCATGCAAAGTACTATTCCTCATGCTCATCTTGTCCCCTGAATATTCTTATGATTCGAAATTTAACAAACAAAACGTGTGGTATTCCCTGGAATTTCCATTGCAGCAAGCGTATTAACAGTCCTTGGCGCATGAGAGTGGCCATAGAAATATTTTGCACTAGTAGTTTCAACCAGTTCTGTAACACTGCAGTCATAGCCAATTTGCCATGTACTGGAATAGCTAGTAAGGCTGAGACTGCGATTCTGATTCACCGAGGTCAATAGCCTGAGACATTGTACATGCCGTTTGATCATATCCTAGCATGTGTACTTCGAGCATCGGGCTCCTGGCCTCCCTTGTCGCCCTTGCAGCATATGTCTTTAGCGTAATCAATCAATTCTGTTGAAGGCATAAAAATTATTTCAGTATTAAGGGTGGAACAGTATCCTCGAATAACGACGACCTCCTTGAATATCTCTTGCTCAAAGTCCAGATAAGGAGAGACTTTATTTACGGAGTACAGAGTGCCGGACATGCTTGCAATTCCAAGGCCCCTCATGAAGCAGAATAAGCCAACATTAAAGCACAAAACCACGGAATACATAGGTAATCGTCTGAGTACAGAATAGTGAATGACAATTCTCTTTCCAAAGTTCGGAGTGCCTACGCTGCAGACACATGGACATCTGATAGTACCATGTAGTATCCAGTAACGTCCACCTATTCAGTTCTCTACGGTTCTCCTCTTTTTGGTAGTCTGTCTACACAGTAGAGAGGTGGGTACTATTGTTAGTGAAATTCGGAAAATTGTTCTCCGAGAATGAGACCGAGAATGAAGTGGCATCACTTATGTGACTCGACAACGGGCCTGATATTAATAGCAGTGATCCAGATCCTATTAATCAAGAATGGCTACCTCAATCTATCTAACGCTTCCTAATCCACAGTGGGGTCGCCACCAATCTATGAGAGTACCCCGTACCATTAACTACCTCAATTACCTGGGTAATTACGACGTGTTCATAAGGAGTATCCACCACTGAGCGTTCAAGTTTTGGTGACATAGTCTCATGCTGGTTGGCAATCATATGAGAAATTCCTAGTACTATCTTCAATTAGTCCAAATTTATATAATGTCTACCTGAAGGGTATGTTAAGTATGTACTACGTACGGACGAAACTGCACGATTCCAGCCCACAGGACTCCTAGCTGCGTCTGGTTGCACTTGGGTGTTTCAGATATTGGGACGTTTGTGACTTTGAACGGAGGCTTAGAGGGGCTGCATTTCCAGGGATAGCGAGAGGGCCAAATTTGGTTCACTGTTACGCCGTACATTGCCCGCATTACAGCTCCAATACCGTCATTATTGGCGTGCGCTCCCGTCGGTGAGCCTTTTGAGGTGTGAGAGTTGCGTAATTTTTGAAACATTACCGTCGTCAGGCTGACGGAGGCAGCTCCGCCCCCTTGCTGACAGAACTGACCACGCTGGCCTTTTAAAGAGTCACCTTTCCCCATCACAACTGACCACTTCAACCAACTTCTGAACACTTGTCCTTTTGTCCCCTCTGGTCGTCATCCACATTACCATATTCTACCACATCGGCAGACCTCCGGCGCCTGGCTCCGGGTTTGACCGTTATGCCAACGTGGCTTTTCCTTTCGTAAACTGGGCAAGTGGACGTCGTCATCAGACTCCTTCATCCCATACAAGGCGTGTCCTCTGCATCATCTTTCCTGAGATACTCGCAGAGAGCTCCAAATACCCGTGATCTTGACTACCAGATCTGCCCATCACGCTTACAAAATGGAAGACGACTTCACTTCAGTTGTAGAGTCCTTGTCTGGTACACCAGCACCGGCTATCCCGCTGCTCACAGTCTCGCCTGCGGATACATCGTTGAACGCACCAGAGACCAAAGTGCAGGAGACGAAAACCGAAGAGAAGAAGCCACCCAAGAAACGCAAGTCATGGGGACAGGAGTTACCAATTCCAAAGACCAACTTGCCTCCAAGGTATGTTCTATCGCGTCCGACGAAATCAATCGGAT